CTCTCGCCATGCTAAACCCTCCAGTAATTATAACTACTTTCTTTGTACTCTCCTTATTTGCAACATTAAAATTCTTTCATGCCTCTTTCCTTGCCAAACCGTATATTTTCCCAAATTTTTCTCCTCTGCCTGCTGCTCTCTTGACCGTAGACAAGAATAGTGGGCAGCAGCCATGAAAAACCTGAATGCTCTCCTGTCTTGAAATTCTCTCCTCCAAAAAAGAATCACTCATTGCTTTTGCATTCAGCTTCACTTCCGTTGCCACGAAAGGACAGAATAAGGCCAGATTATTTGCTAAGATACGGCATGCGTGGCCTCTAGCTCAATTCCCAGCAGAGCCCTGTGGCCTCTGAAATCTCGTGAGCCTCATCTCCACAGCCTGCACCCCTCATGACATTGTGACCTTTGAAATCCCCGCTTGAATGCCCCACGAAGCTCTGCTTACGGAATTCTTGGCTTTTCTGTTCTATAGCTTTAAGCTCGTCCACATTCCTCCTACAAACCAAATCAAGAAGCCCGTGGACTGCAGGAAGGTGTATCACAGCAACAGCCTCACTCAGGGTACCAATTCCTGGTATTAGTTATCTCACTGATGGGATAACAGCAGCAGCTTAAGGCGGGAAGGGTTTCTTTTGGCTCAGCAGCAGTGCAGTCCTTTGTGGTGGGAATGTCACGGCAGAGGAACACAAGGCAGGAGTCACCCTGCCGTTGTAGTTACAAGGACAAGTGAAGTGGATGCTGGGTCTCAGATCAGTTTCTTCTTTTCAGCCCAAGAACTTCAGCTTGGGATGGTGTGTCCATTTTTCAGGGAGTGTCTCCTCTCAAACTTTTTTTTTTTTCAACAACCATAGACGTACCCAGAAGCGTGTTGGTACGGTGATCTAAAACCCAGTCAAACTGACCCAAAAGATTAACCACCATGCCATCGGTCCTGCATTGATTTGCTGCCTAGCAACTGGTTTTGGCTATAACTTTCTTTTCATTCTCGTTTTCAACTTTAAGACAAAAGAGAGACACAGCTGCCATCATTGTCACTAAAATAACAGGACAGCAAGCACCTATTCAGCTAAGCAAGAGGCTTAGGGAATCATTTTGCCATTGAACTTTTCTTACAAACAACTTTTTTTCCTCTATGACTCCAGTGGCTTTGGCCAGGCTCCAGGCGCCAAAAGTCACATCCAAGGGAACAGTTAGTCCACCACCCCCAATCCTGGGCTGGAGACTGTGTTCCGATCATTTCTCCTCCTGCTCCTCACCGCCACCATCCTGGCCCCTTCCATCACTTCCCCTATTTATCTCCCTACCCCTCTTTCCACAATTTTCTTTCCTCAAAGTTTCCACGTCCAACAGGGACCTGAGCGTGACCTCCTGTCAAGAACCGTCCCCTCCTGCTGGTGCTGGATCAGAGAAGTCTCTCTGGGGTCACGCGTGCTTGGTGGAGGCGTCTGCTAGTGCCTGATTTCTTCAGCTGAATGTGAGGCTTGGGAGAAAACATTGGTGAAGGTATGGTGGCAAAATATTTAAAAATATTCAAAATCCAGCCTGCCGCACTCGGAGGTGCCTCCAGCAATGCTTACCAAGGTCGCATGCACAGCTTCTCAGAAGCCTTGTAATGTTTTGAACATACAGTATGTGCATTTGCTCCGTGCGGTCATCACACCACACGCCACCAGCGAATGCTACTCAAAACACGGCAACTCAGGTTCAAGGCTCTGGCATGTTTTCATTCTCTGTGCAAAAGTTTTCCATTCTAATATAAACATAATGGCTTAATTATGGAAACAGACATTCAGGATCTTCCTGCCATCATCTCTCAGCACACAACTATCAAACTGCTGTTTCCGGATTGCAGCGTGTTGGGATGTTTAGTTTTAGAAATTGCTATCTGAAAGTCCAACGAGTTCATTCATTCTGGTATGGTATTCAGACAGAATTTCCAACAATATCTGGGAAGGCCTTATATGCACTTCTGTCTTTTTGTACTGTGTGTTCATATGAAGTGGTGCCTCAGCATTGATAATTATAAATTGAAAATAATGGTCAACTCTATAAAACTTTAGAGATGTTCTGTGTCTGGCAGTATTAAATATTCAGCCAAATTTTAGTTCTTTCTGTAAAAATAAACAAGGCCACCTCTCTCATTAATATGCAAATATGATTTAATTGCCAATAAAAGACAATTATATATATATATGAAACAAAAATTTGTCTTAAAATAAATTTCTTTGATCTATTACCAGTATTTGGTTTGTATATTCATTTTTATACATATACATATATACCTACACACAGATACCCACAGACACACACAACACACACACACATACACACACACATACAAGGTCACAAAAACTTCTTGGCTATAAAGCAGTTGCAAGTAGAAAAAGTTAAAGACACTGTGATCTACTGTAGGGGCCACTGTGATCCACTGTAGTGGATACTGTGATCTACTGTAGCAGACACTGTGATCTACTGTAGCGGTCACTGAACTCAATGATTGCTAGAGAACTACTCAGTCACCTAGAAGACACTCTCCCCTTCCCCAGTTTTCTCTGGGTCTGACAGGCAAGCAGCCCAGTGGTTAAGGGCTGCCCAGAAGGCCACAAAGGACATGCCATTTGCAGAAGTACAGGTCTCTTTTTCTAATTCCTTAGTCGCTTTGTGTCACCTTGTCAATCAAGAGTTACCATTGTACCTCCTTTTTTGTTTCTCCAGAATTAATTTCAAAACTTAAATGCTCTGCTTGATTCTGTCATTTAGGCTTTGTTGGCTTTTATTTAAATACAAACACATTTTAGAGACAGAGGAATAGGGAAAATGCAAATAGGCTCACCTGCTGCCCTTTATAAAACTCACCCAATTTATTCAGAATCTTTTTGGCAAGAGGAAGGCTCATCTGCTTTGGTTTTTCATTCTCTCTGGGATGCTAATTGTTTTCCTTTTGATAGTCTTGTTGTTTTGGCCTGAAGTCTACAATCTGGCCTGCTGAGCGGTGTGTCACGTTTGTAAATTAGCTGACATCTGCTTTGAGTTTCATCGTCTTTAATTTTCTTTCAGGATCGTTTCACTTGTTCATTTTCTCTTTAATTGCAAGAATCGGGTTTTTGTCTTTGCTTTACACAAAAGTCCAGACCTTTCTGCTTTGGGGGCATGGACTCCAATGAGTGGAATCACGTGGTCCCATGGAAGACTATTCAGGGAAAAGATGCTGGGAGAGAAGCCTTAGCAACCAGCCCAGAGAGGATGCGCCCCGGACACAAAGAGCTAGCTGTCCACACCACACTTCTGAGGTTCCCACTGAATAATTACAATCTGTTAGAAGGAGATTGACAATAAGGGCTGAACCGGGGGAAATATTTTGAATTGAGAGAGACTGAGGTGGTGGACATATGTGGAATGAACGCTGACTTTTTATTTCTTTCTTTCTTTTTTTTTTTTCAGTGCTGGAGAGTGAAGCCAGGGCCCCACATGGAAGACAAACTGTTCTACTACTTAGCGACTGTCCCCATGCCTTCCTCTCCTCTACTGTCCCTTCTTCCCTTCTTCCTCTCCCTCCTTTCCCCCATCACTTCTTTCTCCTTTTCCTTTTCACCTCAGAAAAACAGTAGAGGGAGTATTATTGCAAATAGGACTGGGATTATTTATCAAAGATTCATTTCACTGTTAAATTACCAAATGCCGCAGCCTCGTGACTTTCTCCCACTTGAAAGAAAGCTTTCACACACACAAGCTCAGAGGTGTTTGTTGGGGACACGACCCCTGGCCAGGGCTTATGCATGAACTTTTCTTCTGACAAGCATGTCCACCCTGGCTAGAAGAGGTTTACAGGCCGGCTGGCTGTGCACATGGTATAAAAACTTTCCTCAATACCAGCTGCAGAGATTCTAAACCACGTTTCTGAAACTATATTATGAATCTTACCTGACAGTAGCTTTGAGGTTTTACGTATGTTATTGGATGCTACTGTGATAAAGACATTGCTACGTAAGTTAGGGGCGTGCTTTTTGGATGGCATATGTACAAAACAGTGGTTCTAAACTGGGGCACTTTTGTCTCCTAGAGGACATTTAGAAATGTCCCAGCCAAGATCACTATCACAACCGTGAGAGGAGATTGGTGCTGGCATCTAGTAAGTAGACACTTGAGTTTCTGATAAATAGTTTCTAATGCACAGGATAGCCCCACAAGAGTAGAAAGGGCTATCTGTGTGCACTGAACTCTCTCTCACTCCAGTGAGAATCGCTCTCTTTGCAACTCAGCCAGATTTTGGCAGCTCATTCGCCACCATCACCAATAATTTCCTTGTGACAGTCTATTGACGTGGACTGTCTTTTCCTTCCTTGATCTGACCCTTGTCATCTTCTCGCCGGGACAGTCCCTGTCCTGAGACCAGAATGATCCTGAAATGGGTTCTGACTTTACCCCACCACGTACCAAACCTCACAGTGACTCCTACAGGACGAAATGGGAACATCTTAGAAAGGTAAGCCACGCCCACCGTGTCTCATCCCTGCCTGTGCTTCTTCTTCATCATCATCATACCGAATGTTGCTCTTCTTGTAGCATATCCTTTATTTAGGCAAAATGACGCACATTTCAGGAAAGACATACATGGCGCCAAAAGGAGAGCCTGGTGCGATATGGTCATCTCCTAAGACTTGGTCCACAGTGTCTCTTACTCAAGGAGATGTTTCTTGATCTCAGGTTTACCCCTCCTTCTTCCACACACAGGGAGACCCCACCATTTCACAGTTCTCCAAATTCTTTGAACCCATCTTTAATAGTACAACCTCCCTCTAGCATCTAATTTTATTCCCTAGTTATTTAAATCTTTAATCTACCAGACAGTGACCTCTATCCCTTTGCTTAAATCCCTGGCTCAGAATAAACAAGCATCAGATGCTTATTGAATAAATAAATGAGCGCCACTTGGCATTGTCCTTTGTACTTCATCCTCTTTCTTTCTCATAACTTTTGCTCTCTTTGGGTGCTATAGATACCTGCCATTCCCAGCCTTGCTGTTTTCCAGTTGTCGGGAGAGCAGCTTGGCGATGTTGGTGAAGCTGTTGCTCATTCGGAAGATGTCCCTGCTGTGAGGGCCCAGGATGGAGGAGAAGACGTCAGTGATGCTCTTAATTTCCAGCAGGAGAATATGGTGAAAGGAGTGCTCCATGTTAGCCAGCTGGCTCACCAGGTAGCCCAGGCAGCACCTGGCCCTTTCCTGCCAACGACAATGAGACCAATACAAGTCTGTAGAACAACACAGCGTTGAAGTTCCGTGAGCTAGATCCCTTCTAATAAATACGGGCAAGGTTAATAATGCGGGCGCTTTTGAAGACGTCACATCTGTGTGAATTCATGAGACACAGTTCATTACAGGGACATTGTCTACCCACGACTTAGAGTCAAAAGATAGATGTGGGGGATTTTCGTCACATACCAGGTTTCTCTTAGAAGTTAGGAACACAACACAGAAGGAAACGGGTAGAAACCTACTGAAACGATGAAGCAGACAGATTGAACAAAATACTCATGTGAAATACATAGTATGTTGGATGGAAACACGTGCCACAAAAGAGAAACAAAGTAGGAAGAGGAGAGCCTGGAAAATTAATATTAAAAAGTACACTGGGCAGATCCCAGAGAGAAAGTAACATTCAAATTTAATGAAGTTTTTATAATCGAAACCCAGCATGTTCAAAACCCTTAGTAACAATTGGAGTGAAATTCGTCCTGTTTAATACAGGGTTGCAGGGAGATCTAGGAGCCAGACTATATGGGAGGTGACATTTTATTTGCTGTTTTTATCACCGACAGTGTGACTTCCAACTTCATGTACGCTCCTCGGCTTCAGAATCAGAGTCTGCCTTAGCATCCTAAAAAGTCATTCCACAAATATCTAAGTGTCCCTGTGGTTCTGTGAAGAGGATTTCCCGGGCTGCGGGTGTAGATCTGCTGCTCAGTTTTGTAGCCGGGCGTGAGGCCCTGGATTGACCCAGGGATGCTCTCTCCCACCCCCCCCCCCCCCCCCCCCCCCGCACCCCGCAGCGCCCGCTCCGAAACCTTTCTCATCATACAAAACCAGAACATTCTTCTTTCAGAAGCATTCGTCTTGTTGATGGGAAAGGTGACGGTGTGGATGTTTGCTGAAACCAGCCTCATTCTGAATGATCCTCTGGCAGCCAAACCGAGCTGAAGGGGAAATTAATCACATTTCGGGAACAAGAAAAATCCGAACTGCTTGAGACCCCGCGTATGAGTCCGCACCAAGACCACATCATTTGTTCTGAAACCTTGGAGCACGTCCAGGTTCCTCACAGGGGTAACAGATGTGATTCTGGACGAAAAGTGTGATGTTAGGGCAAGAGTGGGGTTATGAAATTCCGATTTCTTTCTCGGCTCCAAAGTATTTTGTCTCTGAGGCTTAGTGACTGCAGCCTGTAGGCTGTCTTCCCGCAGCGGGGCAGGGTCAGCGGCACCAGTGTGTCATCATGTGGGCTGGTTGCTGTCCACTCAGACACAAGTCCGCAAGGACAATTAGGCCAAGTGCCAAAGCTACCCTGCATGCTCTTCAGTACTCATGGGACCCCCTGAATGACACTGTGAGGTAAGTAATGTGCCGGCCATCACTTTATGGGAAAGAAACTGAGGGCAGACTGCCACGCTCTGAGCCCCATGTCCTCGGCGTCTCTCACTATTGTGACCTCACTGGTTCTGGCACCAGCCCTTCCTACTAAGGAACAAGACCACAAATTAGTCCAATCCCGTCTCAATCTCTCATTTCCCAGCACAGGTATGCAATTCTCTTTGCTTAATTACATTTGATTTATCTAAGAAGCATCATAAATACTCTAAATACAAAATTGATTATCAATTTTTAAACCTTTCTGTTTGTAGGGCCCCTGACCTCTTTTTAAAATGTTGGCAAGCCCCAAAGAGTTTTTGTTTGTCTGGGCTGTAGGTATCGCTATTTGTCATTCTGAAACCAAACTGACAAATTAGAACCATAAATTCATTTAAAAATAGCAAACCATATGCATGTTAGACACATTTTTTATGAAAAAAATTCATCTCCTAAACAGAATTTTTGAAAATCTCTATGGTGTAGTGATTGTTTACATGGACAAAAACTGGATCCTCATATCTGTTTTTTATTTGCTGCATTATATCTGGCCTCATACAGCTTATATAGTTGGAAAAATTAGAACTATTTCCAAAATAACGTTGATAGTTATGTACATCCTTTATGGATAGTACATGAAAACCCAATAAGTGGTAGTATCTATTTGCAATATTAATATTTTTGTATTCTATTACATTAAAATCCATCTTTTTCCCCCCTCAAATAAAGATAAAGCATTGCTCTTTCCATAGAGGAAGTGGTCCAGAGTTGTCAACCTGACACCAGGTTGCTGGTTAGTTACCCTGGGGAACGGTGCCAGATCTGGGGCTCAGTGTTAGTTTCTGCTGTTGGCAGATCTGGCACTCAGCAACAGTTATAGCCAGGTCAGCCTTGATGAGTGGAAGTCCATGTGTAACCCCCGTCTCTGCCACCATGACCACTTTGTTCATGGGTCCATTGTGCAATGACAGGAATGGCTGGGGAAAGGGGTTGTCTTAGGGTTTCTATTGCTGTGAATAGAACCATGACCGCGGCAGGTTCTATAAAGGAAAACATTTAATTGTGTGGCTTACAGTTCAGAGGTGTAGTTCGTTATTGTTACAGCAGGAAGCATGGCAGTGTGCAGGCAGGCATGGCGTGTGAGAGGGAGCTGAGAGTTCTTACATCTTGATTCACAGGCAACATGAAGTTGTCTGAGACACTGGGTAGAATATGAGACCTCAAAACCTGCCTCCACAGTGACATATTTCCTCTAACGAGTCAAGGTCACGTCTCCCAGCAGTGTTACTTCCTTGGGGGCCTATTTTCTTTCAAACCACCTTAACTGTCCAGAGAAGAGGTCCTCCTATCTATTTGTCTATGGAACTCTTCCTTAGCTGTAGTCACCTTTGGATGGGCATCTACGTGAGACATAAGTGACTTCATTCCCTTTGCCTATTTGGAGAGGTCTTTTCAAATACTTCTTCCCCAAATGTGTTTCTCACCAGCTTTCCAACCATGCTCTTCCAACAGCTCCCCGACTGTCCATCGAATCCATTGACTACAGCTCATGAATCAGGGATCAATCGCAAATCTGGCCATTTCTCCTTTGTAAAAAATGTATGACTATGAGTTCAGTCTGAAGTTCTGTCCATTGTGAGGGGTTCCCTTCACTGGTGTCTTTCAGGGTTGTCCCAGAAAGGGGTTGTAATGCTGCAGCTGTCCACTTCTGGGTGGTGCCTTCACGATATGCAATCATCAGTAAGCTAGACCCTGTCTTCTTTTCCTTTCAACCAATCCGAGAGAATGCCTCAATGCGGCTATAGGTACATGTTTGGCAGCAGATGCATTGTTAACAAGAGTAAAAACCCTAGGCGTTTGTGCAAATTCTTCATGTGACTTGCTTGTGCCTTCAGGACCTGCTGGGCCTGATCACTTAGATACCTCTTCATCTGATAATAGATTGCTGCCGTGCACATCCTACTTTGTGGCTCAGTGGGTCAGAGAACAGCCAGCTCCTGATGGGCAGCTCAGGTCACATGGTGTCTTGGTGACTCGTTGTCCAATGTTCATTTTCACCGAAGGCCCAATAGCAAGCCAAGAGCTGTCCTGTCTGCCTGCAGATGACGGTAGAATCTTGTTCTAAAATCCCAAAGGTCTCTTCTGTGATTCACCTATAGGGGCCTGATAAAAAGCTCCAAACAGCATCTCTTCCTGGCACTTAGAGGCTGTGGTATAGCTAATCTAACAATGGCTGCCTATTAACAGGATGTTCAAGAATCCAGTAGTTGTTCAGACATCCAGGCTTGATGACTGAGCTCTATCATCACAGGTCCCCTCAGTATATGCTAGAATTCTGAAGAAGTATACGCTAATGTCAGTGAAGAAATAGACTTGCTAGAGAGAGTGAGAGCAAGCAGGCTGAGAGAATGGACCCGTCTTCCAGGTCCTTTATATAGGCTGCCAGCAGAAGGTGTGGTCCAGATTTAAACGTTTGTCTTCCTACCCCGAAGATCTGGATTAGAAGAGGGTCTATCCACTTCAGATGATTTAATTACGAAAAAATAAATCCCTCGCAGGTGTGCCCAGTCTTTTGAACTTTAGTTAATTCCAGATGTGGTCAAGTTCACAAGAAAGAACAGCCATTACGAGGACCAAGCATTCAAACACAAGAGGGCAATGGGGAACATTTCACATCCCAAACACAACGCATGGGGGCATCAGAGCCAGTCTCGTACAGGCGTCCAGGGGAACTATGGTAACATCTGTAGCTTTGCTGAAAGCAGAAAGCTCACTTCATTCCTTCCCCTCTCCAGATAACGTTTGCCAACTCATTCAAATGCAATAACCACGGGCTCTTTAGAAGCCATTACTTAAGTAAAAACCATTCCTTGAAAGAGTTATTCAGATGATCTGGAAAGACAAGGGCTCAAGTTGCTTTTCTAAGTTAGCCTCTATATCCCTGTATTTAAATGTGCATCAGAAATTCTGAGCCAATACCCATTTCCAATTAACACTGAGCATGAAAAGTCTTCAGGGTGGAGGTAATAATAAAACCAGTTATTTCTACTGTTTCATCAAGCCAAGTGAGTCCTTGTGAGGATGGGGAGGTGGGGGTCTCGAAAGTCAGTAGAGGAATGGTTGCTACCGGGGAACCCTTGGAGAATGTCTGGAGACATTTTGGGTTGTCATAATTGAGGGAATGGAAGGGTGGAATGGCAGAATCCAGTGGGAAAAGGCCAGAGATGCTGTCAAACATCACGTAACACACAGGATAGCCCCCAGCTAAGGGTCATCTAGCCCAAAGCGTCGATGGTGTCAGACTAAGAAATTCCTAGTTAAGTGAAAACTGGCTCTTCCCCCGGTCCCCTAACTGTCAATACAATCTGGTGTCACTGTCCTGATGTGTGGTAATCACTAGAGGTTTTGCAAACTATTGCTTTGTGCTACGAGTGCAGATGTCAACCCAGGAGACACAATAGACAATGTCTTAGGGATGCTGCATTACTGTGAAAAAACCTCTACCAACACAGGTGCCTTGAAAGGACCTAAGAAGCCATGGGTCACACTGAGAACTGATGAACTAGAGTCATCCTTGGCAACATTTTCTGTAAGGAGCAGATGGGAAATATTTTTAACCCAGTGAGCCATTGGATTCTGTTTCTGAGAAACAGTCATCGACAGGACTACCTGACTGAATGTGACTGGGTTTGGCCACAGGCAGCCATTTGCTGGTCTATGAACTAGATTATGTGGCAAAATTGCATTGGCCATATCATTTATTTGTAATCAGTGTTCCCATTTTAAATGTGTGTGTGTAACTCTTATCTCATAATTCTTTTCTATTATCTCTTATCAAGAAGAGAAAATTTAAATATGAAAATGTCAGAAAAAGTGGTGACTTAGTTCTAAGGATGGATTCCTCGACTAATCGGGCAGTCACTAAGTATGTGCCAGGCGATGGGCACAGTTACCCACAGTTCACATCTGTTTATAAAATGGGCTATCAGAATGGGAATATTAGTACCTAAAGGACAATAAAGACCGAGGTTACACTGGTCAGAGTCACAGGTGGGCAAAGCTGCTACTGAATCAAAAGCTGACTTATTCCAGTGTTCGGATGTTTCCAGCTAAGACATTTAAATCCAGATATAGAGCTGGAAGAGTTTGTATTGGCCCCTCTTCCCATCCCAATTCTTTGGCTCTGAGAACCCAACGTTCTCTGTTTGTCCCCAAATCTTTTCAGGTTTTTAACACTAAAATGCTCTTGCTGTAGAAGATTTCTTTCTCAGTTCAGATGCTGACCATTACCCCAAGGCCCAGTCCTAAAGACTTGGCCCCCAAGAGTGGCACCAGTAGGAAGCGTGGAATCCTTAGGAAGTGGAGCTTCCTAGACACTGCAACGTAGCTGCTAAGGAAAAAAGCATCTCTGGTCCATTTATTTTTCTCTGTTCTCCTTGGCTCATGACACAAAAGCAGCTTTGCTTTCCTAACATCTACTAGCCTGATGCTCTGCCTTAACACAGGCCCAAAGCAGTAGACACACTGTTGATGGTGGGAACCTCCCAACTAGGAGCAAAATTAAATTTTTTCTCCTTGCAAACTGACTGCTTTAAGTCCTTTGTTTTTAGTTAGCTCTGGTCATGAGCAAATAAGGACACTTGATAATTTTGTTACTTTATGACCATCTAATAGAAACAATGTAATGGAGGGAAGGTTTGTTATTTATTTAATTACTTTTTTCCTCTCTCTCTCTCTCTCTCTCTCTCTCTCTCTCTCTCTCTTTCTCTCTCTCTCGGCAGGGTCTCACTTTGTATCCCTGGCTGGCCTGGAACTCACTATGTAGACCAGGCTGATTTAAACTCACGGAGGTCTGTGTACCTCTCTTGCCAAATGATGAGATTAAAGGTGTGGGCCAAGGAAAGGTTTGTTTTGATTCAGTTTCTGAAGTTTTAGTTCAGAAGGGAAAGCGTAATGGAGTTCGTTTGAGAGACAGGCACCTAGGATCGCTCCAATCACAGCTGCAGATAGGAATCAATGAGCACAGGCTGGACCCAGGATCAGGCACAAGTGCCCAAGTCTCTTTTTGGCCTCTAATCTTCTGATTTTGAGACAAATAAATTAATTTTTTTTACACACCAATCCTAGTTCCCCCTCTCTCCTCTCCTCCCAGTCCCTCTACCTTCCCCCTACCCCACCCCCAAACAAAAAAATTATTTCTGACTGTGTGCATGCCACATATTCTCTTGGGGTAGTCAAAAATTGTTTTCTACTCATTGATAAGTAAAATTACATTAGGAATTACAAGCATTTTAATGGTTTCAAAAATCACACAGTCATTGTTAAAAAAAAGAAAGATATTTCTGTGTTTACTACTTGGGAGTCAGTTTTTGCATGACTGTAGGAACATGATTTCTGGAGCACATGAAGAGTAATAAATCATGCCTCGCAAAAAGTGCTGTCTGGACAAAACAATTTTAAACATAAATTTCGGGAACAAAAGTTAAAAAGTAGCTGATGAGAACAGATGTATCCTTTGTTTTGTATGAACCTCAAATTTTGTCACAAGGCAAAAATGAAGGCTAATTGGACCATGTTCAACTCTGTGCATTTGGCATACAATACTAAGCTGAATTCCACCTTCGCAGCAAAAAAAATCAACCAAGTCATTTATGAAGCAATTATGGCTAGACATATTTAAGCCTGGAACTTATGAAGTCTTTCTCAAGAAGTTGTTTGAACAAAAATGATTTGGGATTTAAAATAGTAAGAATGAAACGTAGCTTAACTACCCGCCCTGACTACCCGCCCGTGGGATTTCAAAGAATAATGTAATTGTGTAAATTAAGTCTTTGTTTTGATTGACTTTTAAAGGGAAACAAGGATATAGTCTGTCACCAAGTAACTCTTTCCAATTTATTGTTATTTTTCCTCAACTAGAGCTCAGTATGGCCATGTTTCTGTTTAAAGAAAAAAAAAACCTCCTCCTACTTGTTGGGTAGGAGACTATTCACAAGTATCTTTTCATTCCTTTGACCCCCTAAATGATCACAGATCTTAAACCTTAGAGAAGGTCATCTAATTTGAGCTTCAAACATAATGTTTTGATTGATAAAAGATTTAAGCGTTCTATAGTTGAGATTTGCTCTCTAAAAACTGGGGGCTTGGGAATGTAGCCTCTGAAAGATAGACCTTTTGTGCAGACCCAGAATGGGTTCAACCAGGCCAGTGTTTCTTCTCCCACAGCACGGGGTCCCCTCATGGAAATGACCTCTCATTGATTATCCTGAACAATGGGTCCACTATTGCTTTTGCTTTAATTAAACACTGTCTGAAAGACCATTGGGGACACAGCACCGAAAAGCTTCTGGTGGACTCAAAGTTGCAGGCAAATTTTAATCCCTCAAGGATCTGCTGGGCAAATGAGGGTGCAAAACAAGAGCGAGAGAAACTAAGTAACCATGGGAACCATGTGGAGGCAAGATGCTGCTGTAGATCCAAAAGCAAAAAAGGAAGGAAGAGAGGAAAGAAGAGAAGAAAGGATGGAGAAGAAGGAGAGAGAGAAAGAGAGAGAAAGAGAGAGAGAGAGAGAGAGAGAGAGAGAGAGAGAGAGAAGAAGGAGGAGGAGGAGGAGGAAGAGGAGGAGGAGGAAGGGAGAAGAGAAGGAAAAACGTGCTTGTACTTCAAAGTTTTCTTAAGTCAAAGAAATCCTTGGGTTTTGTTCATCAAGGAAAGCAAGCAACTACGTGGTAAAAATGTAACTCAGTTAAACTGTGTCAGTTACAACAAAACTTTTCACAATTAGCTCGTCACAGGATGCACTGTTCCCATTAAATAATGAGACACGAGGGACCTATTTTTCTTTGTACTTCTTTCAAAACAAATAGCCAGGCTATCTTACCAGTAATGGTTGGAATGTAGCTTTCCAGGTATAAGCTAGAAGATTTGGTGAGTACTCTTTTATTTCTTACAGAGAAGAATGAGATGGAAAAGCCAAATCCCCCCACCCCCTAGTTGTAACTCTGGCATCTTGCCCATCATCCATGTAAGTATGTCTGCTTTAGTTTATGAATTTTGTTTTGTTTCCCGCCTCGTATCAACTGTGTTTTCACGGTGAGATGCCTTAACTGAATTAAGCAGGGTAGGAATGGATGGATGGAGAGATGAAAGCAAACTGCAGCTAATAGGATGGAGCCGTGAAGGTAGCTCTGATATCCCCGTGAGGAAAAGGCTTAAAGAGCTCTCTTCCAAAGCAAACAACCGCTTTTCCGACCGCTTTCTATGTATCACCTTTATGTTAAGGTTTTGGCAGTGGGGTAAAGCTGTGTTCCACTGCACCGAGATCTTGAATGGGCGCAGTGTTTAATCTCATCATTTCTCCAAGGATGAGCAGAGTCACCCCTGTACCCGCGGTCCCTAATGTGTTTACTGTACAGTACACTAAAGTCCGCTCACCTCCTCTCTGTGCTCCTTCTCACTTCCTAAGATGGAGGAGGCCAGCTATCGCCTTCAGGAAACGTCTGTACTGTCGCTGCTTCCCACATCATCCCTCTGTCCCTTCTGTATAATCTGTGTTTCCCAGTCATGAAGGAGATGAGTTGGTGGCCCCGATGTTTCGAATGCTTATCTCCTAAAAGCATGTTGAAACGCAATTGCCGTTTTAATAGTTTTTAAAGTTTGAAGATCTGTCGGAGGGGATGAGGCTGTGAGGTTAGGTTCTGCTCCCATCCATGGAACGGTGATGCCATTATCTGGGAAAGGGTTACTTACAGAAGGAATCATTTGACATCCGTTTGTCTCTTTGACCCTCTGTTTGTCATTCTTCTTTAGACTGTTGTGCTAAGGAATTACTTGTTATATGCAGCACCCTTGCCTCCTGAGCTTCCCAGCTTCTAGACCCATGAGTCAATAGTTTCTGATAATTATCAATTAACCAGCCTGTGATAGTCTATTACAGTGCTAAGGTAACTGGCAGGAAAAAGAAAACGGCATAGTAAAAAAAAAGGGGGGGGCTGGGAGGTGTTGTTTTGGATGAGGAAAGGGAAGCCGAACGGGATAGCAGCACAGAGTCCTGCCTTCGAGAGAAGGACGCTTGCCCTCGGACACAGAAGTAGTGGAAGGAAATCTGGGAATGGAGAAGTGCAGGAGTATTATAGCCTGCTCCAGAGATTTGCCAAGTCAGTTCTTCAAGGTGCCTTTGTATCCTGCCTTCCCGCTGTTACAAAGTGCCCCACAAAGACAACTTAAAGAAGAGCTTGTTTGGGCTTGCAGTTCCGGGGAATACATCCCCCCAGGGCAGGAAAGTTGTGGCCCAGGAACAGGAGGCAGCTGCTCACTTTGTGGCCTTTGTCAGGCGCTCCATCTGCATTCTCTCTTTAATTCAACCCGAGGACCCAGTCTCTGGAAATAGACCCACCACACTTAGGGTGGGTCTTCCCTACCTACACTCATCTAGATAATACTGCCCAGACACACCCAGGGTTTGTCTCCAGGATGATTCAAAACCCTTCAAGTTGATCATAGTGAACAGACTTTGCAGTGATGGGACACAATGAATTACTCCCTTCCCTGGTGTGAATGAACTGTTAACAGTTTAACCTGTGGGATCCACTCAGCTCTAATCCTGGGGAAATTTCCTCATTCCACTTCTAATTCCTGGGAAATACTGACTTTCCATTCATCTCAAAAAACGTAAAGGTAATTGCTCCATTATTTATCTATTTCTTTTTTTTTTTAAAGATTTATTTATTACACATACAATATTCTGCCTGCATGTATGCTTGCAGGCCGGAAGAGGGCATCAGATCCCATTATCAATGGTTGTCAGTCACTTAGTGACAACTGAGAATTGAACTCAGGACCTCTGGAGAAGCAGCCAGTGCTCTTAACCTCTGAGCCATCTCTCCAGCTCCCATTTGTCTGTTCCTTAACAAGAAATAAACTAATGTGAAGAAATGAGACTTTCTGCCTGATTTCTTCTATCTCCCCTGTGACTTCTTGTATCTTATCTATGTATGCTCAATCATCCTGGACCATGTAATGATTTAGATAGCATGAGAACATTTCATGTGACAGCCAACTGCCAGGTATGTCTTTCCTTACAGGGCTTTCGTTGGAACCTGGTGAACCAGTACCAATTTCTCAACACACAACGGAATAAATTCAGCTCAAATTTTTTTGAGAAATAAAGAAGGATGAAATGTAAACGCCAGTTCAGAACAGCATCGCTGTAGATTTTCAGCAGACTCTATCTACTTTCGAGTGCCCTCATATATTTTGAGAGTACAAATCTAATAACACTTTTTACCACACAGCAATTCTGCATGTAGAAAAGCTGCTTGGAGGTTTATGAATGCTTCTAGATCTTGCTTGAAATATGATTTACCAAATGCTATTTTAAAAATCAAAATGAAAACTCCAGCACTGGGGAAATCTCATTTATATTCCCTGAGGTGGTTAATTAAGAACACCGTCTTCCATTACATAGGCAGGAAGGCAGACTAAAGAATTGTAAAAACGTTATCCGGGAAGGGCCAACTCATCACCATTTTCACCCCCTGAGAGACTCTTCCTAAGGGAATCGAGAAAACCACTCCCTCTCAAAGCACAGGGCAGAATCTTCTTTAACTTTGTACTTTGTTCAGTGCTTTCTTCAGAGCAGGAGTGTGATAGTGTTTATAAAGTCCTTTGTAAGCAACACTTGGTGTCCGCGCCCCCCCCCCCGTTCCTATGCATTTTAATGCTGTCCAAGAGGATAACTTTTAAAACGGCATTGGTTAGTTACCTTGAAACAGACCCTGCAAGTATGGCTCTGTCACTTCAGAAATCATTTCTTTCTAGACACATTTGTAACTGTTTGTGGGGACTGTTTGCCCTTTCCCTGACTCTCCAGTTCCTTGGGAGCTAGGAGGAATGTAGGCTTATTTGTTTATACTCTGGGCAGAAGTAATATTCTGCGCCAAACTACCTGGGCAGAGTGAAGAGGGGACACAGGACGGGTCTGCTGATTAATGAGAGGTTGTCACTAGCTGGCTTCCATCCGCTGCCCCGGCCCAACGGTCTCCCTCCTGACCATTATTTATCCCATCCCCCAGGCCAGTGAAACTCTTCAGGGTTCCAGAACATTCAGAGTCTTTCAGCAGCCAGTGCTTTTGTACACACAATGCTTCCCAGTGCATGGTTTCTTCCCCTTCCTCCATAACCTTGTCTTCTTACAAACTCCTCAAGCCCCCATGTGGGGTTACTTCTGTCTTTCCTTGTCCGATTCAAACTTCAAAGCAGAAAGTACCAAATTAAAGTCCAGGTTTCTGTCTGCGCTTCTCTCACCCTATTCCCTATGAACTGGCCTAGGGCAGGGACTTTGTGTCTCTTCTTTCTGAGTTTCGATCACCTGCACAGGGCTGGTGTTCACAGTCAGCAGCTCTGTATGCAGCCCTCGGGATGGGGAGTAAGGAATAGCAGCACTTTTATTTTTAAAGTATGATATATAATACACCCATTTATGTACAAATATTTTTACATACTCCTAGAAGTTTACTTAGTATTCAGGACCATGAAATCTTTTCATAATATAACTACAGTAGTCGTGTTCAGAGACTAGGGCTGTGTGAATGTTTCCCTAGGGTGGTGGTTATTCTTGGTTGGCAACTTGACTATATCAGGAATTAACTAAACCCAAGTGGCTAGACACACCTAAGAGGGATTTTTCTTGACTGACTTGTTTGAAGTGGGAAGACCCACCCTGAATCCAAATCTTCTGTGGTAGAAAAATGCACCTTAAATCTGAGCCACCCCTCCTGGTGGCAGCCTGGATGAAGACCACGGTAGGTGGGAGCGCTGGCTGTCTGCCTGCTTGCCCTAACTCTCACTGGCTAGGCCCACTCCTTCACTAACATTACAGCCTACTTCTCTGGAATCCCAGCATACACTGAAGGCCAACTGAGATGTTCAGTCATGTGGATTGAACAACTACTAGATTCTAGGACTATCTATTAGGAGACAGCTATTGTGGGAATAGGTGGACCATGTGTATATATATATATACATATATATATACACACACACATATATAGTATGTGTATGCACACGTGTATATGCATATACATATATGTATAGTATATATACATAATACATGTGTAGCGTATATAATATATGCACATATTTATAGAACACATATGTAATATATGTATGATGTATATGTATATAATGTATGTGCATATATATATGTTTGTAGAACACATATATTTTTTTCATTTAGTCCTGTTTCTCTAGAGCACCCTGACTTAACACCTAGTAAGCATGGAGTTAGACTAAATTCCCAGGAAAAATAAAAAGGAGAGACGGAAGTAAGAAAGGTTATTTTCATTTTAGAATATCAAATATCTTCTTCAACTGATGACAGTGTTGTAGAATTGGATAACATGCAGCTGGCACCAACCAACAATTAAATTCTAAATTTAAACAGCCTACTTCTTATAATTAAATTCATTATTCCTGGGGAAGCTGAGGTGCCTAGCTGTAGCTCCTTCCTCTATTGAAAACCCCACCTCTCAGATTCTTCGATCTCGATTTGCATATTGAAAGTGTCGGCTGGTGGCCACCTCTGCTCTGCGGATATTTTACAGCAGCCCGGATGGGAACACTAATCTGGCTCGCAGCTGCCTTTGTCATCCTTTTCCTCTCCTTCCTGAAACCCAGCCTGTAGGGCCACCGGATGTCACTGAAATGCAACCTGAGCAAAATCGGTATCATATCTCGATTTGAAGAGTGTCCATGTCTCTAAGCCCAGAGAGGATGTAACAAACACACCCTGGTGCTTGGCCAGCATATTCAAGCCAGTTAGGAAAACAGGACAGACGGCACAGGGCCTGACACCCATAATGGCAGGGACTGCACTCTCGGGCGTGCCACTTGACTCTTTGCAGGTGCAGCGTGGTGGCGGACAGCTCAGGAAAAACAAGTGGCCATAGCATCCTGCCTCTGGCTGTGAGATCACTTCACCTTTGTTTTTATACAGAGAGCAGCTGCTTCCTAGGTCTGGAAGGGGCTCAGAGGACATGCCACATGTTGAGTCAGCATTCTGAGGAGACCAGGCTTTAACAAGGCTATGTCTGGTAAAGGAAAACACCTTTAGTCTATTGATCTAAGACTTAGAGAGGTGGAGAGAACCTACAGATTCAAGTTGCTTTCTCAAAAAAAAAAAAAAAAGGTTTCTGAAGGGGTCTTTTCCATGTTCACTAGTTAGGAAAGAGAACTGTGAGGATCTTGACACCCTAAAAATGTACTGAGACCCTCTGCATGGACAAGACTCCAAAGAAGGAAGAAATGAAAACAAACAAACAAGCAAAAGCCTTTGAAACTAGAACAACATTCAGTTTTTATCCTCCATGAACAAGAACACCACCCCACTTTGGATTCAATTTGGCCTCCTTCGCATCTCACTAATGAGAGTTTAAAGATTAAAGTTGCTGGGAGCCAGCTGAGTGGTTCTTGCAGGTGGGGGCCTGGAACCACCTGCAATTTATAAAAAGCAGAATGATTCCAGGGTCCCAAGAACTAAAGGTAAAACACAGGAAATATGCCCTTAAATTTCTGTTACCCTTATTTTCCCAGGAATGATGACGATCATTATATATATACCAACCTACAGCAAACGTTGCAGAGTGGTTGTTTGTTCAAAAAGGTGACGGTAATTGGCTCTGCCCTACATCTTTAATGATGCCTGCAGGTGTCTCTGGGGTGGGTTGGTTCTAATTCTCTTCACCCATATTTTGACTTGACCCACATCTACACATCCATTCAGCGCTGCAGAACCTAGGGCAAAGCCAGTCATTTATATGGTTGCTGTCTCTGCTAATTTCATTCTTAGGCCCAGTTTGTCTACAAACAAACTCGACGAGCAAGGAGCCGACAACAAGGACAGTCAGAAAGTGCTGACATCTCTTGGCTGTTTACTATTTTCTAGACACCGATTTACACTTTAATTCATCACAATGTGTGATGAATCAACAAATCACACATCAACAAATGTGTGAGATGACAAATGTCACTAATTTCCAACCTGCAGACGAGGAAAGTGTGTCATGAGAAGTTGCATTAACTACCCCAAGGCCACACGGCTGGTAGGTGACTGAATTAGGATGGAGAGCAAGGCTGGGTGGCATAAGATCCCATGCTTTTGGTTGCCATTGTGATACTGTGCAGATGACCCCATAGTAAGAAAGCTCATTCGTGAGACATCTTTGCTGGTGGCCATCCCACTGTCTACAGAGATAAATGGACCCTACTGAAGCTGTGTTTCTACCTGGAGTTCCTGCCCTGGCTTCCCTTGATGATGAGTTGTGACCCGGAAGAGTAGAACGTGACCCCTTCCCTCCCCCAGCTCCTTTTGTTCAGAGTGTTTCATCAGGAGGCGACTCAGATTCTCTGACATTTCAGATACAGGAGGAGAAACCGACCTGGCACAGCTAGTCGGTGTGAGGCGCAGCCCAAGCATTAAGGGAGTACAGGCTCCCGGTGACTCACTTTCTCAAGGAAGCCTGCAAGAATTCACACCAGGGACAGCATTTGCTCTAGGGTAGGCAAGGTAAGGAGGAGGAGGGGGAACCGCTACCCAGTCAGAACAGGGTGTAAAGGTAATGATGCGTGCTGGAGCAAGATGTGTTCAGGGAAGTAGTAAAAGTCCAAGTAGACGGAAAATCAGGAGACAGGAGAAAAGTAGGGGTGAAGGCAGAGGTGGGCTGAGCCCAGATGAATATTATGATAGTTCCCTATAATAGCTGATGAGCCTAGAGAAGAAAAGTAGGGTCACAGTCTCTTTGGGAATAAAGCAGACAGCACCACGAGAGATGCGTTAGAGTGGGGAAAAGCCCCCTCCCTGGCCTTCTCCACATGGGCAGGGAATCTATGATGCTAATGTTACCGTTTTGCTGTTGCCACTGAAGCTCACCAAGGGGTTGGACCCTGAGAAGTGACTAGGAAGTAATGTCTAGTGTTGGGGGGCATACCATTTCAATCTTCTCATTGAGAAAGAATATATATATATATATATGTGTGTGTGTGTATACACACACACACACACACACACACACACACACACACACACATATATGCATGCTATGGTTAGGATGAGCCTATTAAATTACTATTTCCTGCGTGTGTATTTACTTCAAATGATCATCCCCAAAGAGAAGGGTAAATCCCCAAGCGATAGAGAATTGACAGGACCTTTACTGGATGGAATAGGGCTGCCCCAGAAGCATGTTTCTGTGCCCTTTGGTCTCTTCCATTTGAACTCTCAGGGCAGTAATTGTGCTTCAGGTGCAAGTGCACGCTTGGAAATTGCCTACCAGTCCTTACATGGCATCCCATGACGGCCCAAGCATAACACAGCAATTTAGCATGAATCCCCTTTGAGTCTAGACAAAAACGATTGTTGAGTTAATTTTGCGGGGTAGAGGAAACAGGCTTTGTGGGATTTTGTGTTTTGCTGTACACATACAGCTTTCCCTTGCTGGCCAATACAGATGGCAAAATTGGGTAGATGCTGCTACCAAGCTGTTGAAACAGTTCGCCTACCCAGAGGGGCCCTGAGTTCACAGACAATCACATCCGGTTTGCTTCCCAGTGGCCATCTACAGATCTTAGGTCTGGCTTCATGCAGACACAGAATGGGAGACATGAGTCAATTGACAACACTTGACTCTAGCGTTGGCCATCTCAGGTTGATGACGACATATACTCTCAGGATGCTATTGCTGGGACTCAGTTAACAGGAGGCTCCCTCCACTCAGCTCCAGTTTGTGTATCTCAACGTTTGGAACAAGGTCCAGAACTTGGTTTGAATTTCCTGTGTTTCTATAGTCTTTTGAATTCCCGACACGCTGAACTCCCGAACACCACTGGAATGTTTGCTTGGGTGTCAAGGAGAAAAATTCTAATTAAGTTCATTTTTAAAAAAGATCAACTATAAGATAAAGGAGAGGCTCAAAGGACCAGGGTTTACAGAGGTCACATGGCTGCTTTATAGTGAACAACCACTGTCATCCATGCCTCATTTGGTCCCACTTTCCACCAGTTCCCATGTCCTGAGACCTCCACACAGAGCAGTAGAGGTGTCTAGAGCAAAGCTTTTGCTTCTCCCTGTGGATGGTACGCTCATAGGTGACCAGGGTGCTGTACTGGACATTGACCCTCATGCTGACTCTCCTCCATGGGCCTCAGTGAAATGCCTTGTTTCCCTCCAGAGAGCCTGGATAGAAATGCACTGGCAGATAAACCCAGCTGCTTGGCTCTAGCCTCTGACAGTGTCGTGCTACAAGCTTTACTTGATAGGGAAGAATAAATTCACTCATATTCAGCGCTAAGACACATGAACTTTAGACTGGTAAAAATCCCCACTTTAAAGCTAATGAAGGGCTTTGGAATGGCAAGATTTTAAAATAATTTTTGGTACTTGCAATGAAGTACAAGGTCAGCAGATTCAGTCAGAAGGTGTTAGAATCCCCTGGACCCAGAGTTATGAATGTTTCTGAGCAGCCATGTGGGTGCTGGGAATCTAACCTGGGTCTTCTGGACCCAGCCTGTGTTCTCAGTAACTAAGCCATCTCTCCAGGCCCTCTCTGACTTTTAACTTGATCTTATACCAAACTAAGGGATTTTTTACAAATATCAGGCAATTTTATATTTATTTGATAGTTGGGTGTAAGTTGGCTAAGTGGAAACCTTCTCCATTATATATTGACTTTTATTTTAATAGATAAATGGGAATTCTGAATCCCTATGTAAAATCAGCAGAGACACTCATATCTATGCCTGGCCTTTGAAATCTGAACTGCTAGATGTACTTTCTTGGTTTAATGCTCACAACCCCTGATGGTGTCCCCCTGCACTTGCTAGAGTCCCGAGTAGAAATATTTACACTAGAACTTTTAAACATTCACAAACGTTTATTTATCTTTCCCAAATAGCATCACCCAGAGTGCTCAGAGTGCTCTATGACCGTAGCTATGGGCTCTTGGGTTGTCTCCGAGACCTAACTCTGCTCTCGGTTGCCTGGGCTAAGCACGGCTGCAACAGATCATGTGATGGAGCCCTGCTAAGGGCTGTTGCATTACACGGTGGTCTTGAATATGCTAAAAAAAATTTCCATTTTAATTATTCTTCTACCTCAAGGGACACACTGGCAATGAAATTCTTAATTCTGCTGACACAAAACGTTTCAAAAGGGAAATGGAAGCTCAAAGAAGTCGTGAACAACTTCAGAGGTTAGAGATGTTTCTAAATAACTCAGGGTGATGGGAAGGAAAAAAGGAAGAAGGGAGGAAAGGAAGGGGAGAGAGAGAGAGAGAGAGAGAGAGAGACAGAGACAGAGACAGAGGCAGAGACAGAGACACCAAACTTACTTCATCCACATGTCCAACAGCGCCAAAGATCCTTGCTATTTGTCCAGCGAGGTAGGGAAATCTCTCCCCAATCTCCTTCAGCATTGGAAGAAAATTGCTCAAAGCCAGTGGTTCATAGCCTGCTATTTCTATGAGGATGTTTAGGATGAAGTCATTGTGGGTTGAATCCTTCAAATGCCTGATGAGGAAAGGAACGCATTTCTGAACCACCTGCAAGGGGAGAGGAGAGAAAGAAAGGAGAAAGAAAAGACAAAGAGACACATTAGTCAACTCAGAATCACCTTCAAAAGAGAATTGTGTGTGACAGTCTTATACGGAGCATAGTCTGTAGTCGTCTTAAAATATTCCTCCTGCTTCAGCTCCCTGCGAGCTGGGATTACAGGCATAAGAACAGCAACACATTAAATATTAAACCAGAGAGACAACACATCCTGGGATTATTAATCTCGTGGTAAATCTCCAGACTTTGGAATCTAAAATGGACAGTAAAACCACCTGCACCTGAGTCTGTTTTTCTTTGAAATCATGCTCTGCTATGGAAACGTGAAGCCCACAAAGTTCTCATGTCGCTGATGCCCAAGTCAAGCTTTGATGTGTGACGGGAATACTGCATTCCTTTTCCCCAACCACCAGAGCTGCAGCAGAAGGACGGCCAGTGAGGAAGAGACCTTTGTTGATTTTTACTAAAGCCTCTGGTTTAGTGGAATCCCACTTAGAAATGCTTCCTAGTGGAGACAAAGAAGCAGGAAGGCTCCTCACTTGTTCCAAATCTCTAGTTCTACCAAAGAATGTCATGATAAAGTGTGATCATTAAAGCAAAATGATTTCCCCCTCATTCCCTTTGCTTTATGAAGACAAGAATTAAAACCTTCTAGTTGGAAAATGTGACTTTCTGTGAAATATGGGAGGGGATAAAATATAGAATTTGAACAGAGACAAACCAAGGATAGTCTTAAAACAACTAAAATCATCCTACATATAGATTGAAACTTCATAGTCATTTAAGTCCTTTGGGAGGAGAGAATGGCTATCTCCTGGCAAGTCACACACCTGCAGTTCTATAAATGCTGCCTATGCATTGGGGAGGGATTGCACCTCCTTCAGGAGACGCCGTGAGAGGTCCCTGGCACATCCAGCAAAAATGTTAGCCAGCTGCTTGGGTCAGGGCAAGGTATGATGGTGATAGAAAAGAAAGATATCTCGAAGTTTGTCCCCCACACTGCAAACAAAGCGGTGCCCTGGCAGGAGGAATTTTATTTTCCATACGCGGGGCCCTCGTCTCCAGTGCTGCCCTGTTGGGTTGACTTCATGTCTAAGAGCGAGTCCTATCTCTGCAGAGAGTAGAGGAGTCACAGAGACAGCGCAGGTGGCAGGCAGAGAGGAAGCTGACGTGGCTGTCATCCCCTTGTCCCAGACAACTGGAATAATTCCCCAGTGGCTTCTTTTGTCCCTTCTGGTTAATCTTTTCACTGCCTCCAGGGTACTTTTTCCTAAAACCCCAATCTGATGACAGCAAGCTTCCCCTAGGTGCTTTCAAAGACTTCCTCAAGGCCCATGGCCGAAGCCCACGCTGTGGCCTTGCAGGGTGATCACTTCAGGGTGTTTCTGCTGCCTTTTCCCCACAGTCAAGCTCCCTGGTACCAACTGCTTCAGGAGGTGACAGGAAGAAGCCTCTGCTTTGACATTTGACTTTCCCTGCTGCCCATCCTACAGACAGAGGACTCGGGACTAAGACACCAAGGGGATCCTGCACACCGTACATCCGAATACACAGCGGCACTCTGTAACCCTCCTACCTGATAAACGAGCCTCTAAACAACCTGTGATGCTTGGTTTCGACCTGCAGTCTGTGGCCTGTGCAGAGGAAGCAGGGAGAGATGACCTCACCCCCCTCCCCCTCCCCTTTTCTTCTTGCCCTTGCTTTGTTCTGCCTGTGGCTGTCTCCGGCTTATTTAGGCTACTTCTCAGGAATATGAGGTCACTTAACAGTGTCACAAGGACCCTTAAAAATTAAAATTTCTCCAGAAAATATGTTAATAATACAAATAGCTTGGAGCCCTGTTTCCATGAGGCTATCCCCTCAGGAAAATTCCTCCCAGTTCTGACAGCCTGTCTCACCGCTAAATCCACTTACATGCACTTTCTGGCTTTTGTTCTACTTTGCCCCCCATAAATTGTCGACGACAACAGGAAAGGTGGAGACAAGTAAAATTATTTTTCCTCTTCTTTTTTTTTCTGGCCCAAACTGTAAATAACCCCATTTCTCTTTATCAATTCCCAAATTATGACTTTCTGGTAAGATAAGCCAGCAAAGGACTCAGCAGGGCCATAGTCCCTCATACTCTTGGAGATACATGTGCTGACAAGAGCCCTTCCTGAAGAAACATCGGAGACACGCTGAAGGTATCCAGAAAAATTCCAAGGTCCTACTGCCCCAGGCTGTGCTTAGTGGGGATGGTGTTAAAATAGAGTGCAAGTTGGGGGGGGGGAGTGGGAGGTGGGGGAGAGGGTGGGGGGACTTGGACAGGACTCTGGGAAGGAAACAGCCAGGGTAGAATCTCAGCCTCGGGGGTTCTTTGGTTCTTCTCTTTGTATCCCACATAGCAGTTCATAATGTCGGCCTCATCGCGGAGTTGAAATTCTATATCTACCTCTCCCAAATCCCCAAAGCCAAGGCACCTTAAGAATACGGTCATGGGAAAATTAGGCCCTGTTCAGATGGTAGTAAATGACGTTTCAGGACCTGTGTGTGAAATAAAAGAAAAAGTGTGTGTGTGTGTGTGTGTGTGTGTGTGTGTGTGTACCACTTAAATTCATCTCTGGGCAATATTTCTATTTTAGTTAACTTAATTAGCATCAAGACTTCATTAATTTCCATGAATCTACAGAAATGCTTGTCATCCTTTTTGTTTACTACTTAATTCCTGCACGCCGAGATTCTGGAAAGCAGGTTTTGCTGTGCAGGCTGTCCCCAGATAGACTATATCTATCCCACTGCCCCATCTTCTCATGTTTTGTAAATGACTTCAAGTATTTATGCAAAGTGACCCCTGAGCATTGTGGGCCTGGCGACTGGCCTGGCCCATGATGTGTTAGGTGCTGTAAGATTTGGCAGGAGGAGAGGAATGTTCTCCTCTGTTGTGTGAAACCCAGGAAATGACTGTCTTTTTCAGGACCAGACCGCAAAGGCAGCTCCTCTGGGCCTGAACACTGAGGAGGGAGAGTTCCACTTGACACTCTCTGTCACTCAACTCCGCATGCCTGGGGCCAGAAGCCCATGCCTGGGGCTAATAACATGTATGCATACACATTAATAAATTATGTTCTGTTTGCTAGCTAGACTGCTGGATGTCCCACGGCAGCCAGGAAAACACTGACTTTATTCGTATAAAGGCAACTTGGGAAACTGACCGCACAGACTTTTCCTATAAATGGATCCTGACGGTTCCCTGGGGACGCTGACCATGAGTCACCAGCCAGGAACTGCTACTCCCTCTGCGGAGAACAGTGTCCTGTAAAGAACGGTGCCCGATGTCAACGATGAAGGAGAGATGAGCCATCCGTCTGTAACTTAGAGCGTACAGATGTGTGGATGCTGAGACCTCGTGAACTATCAGCTTTGTGTAGAGAAATTGTCCGCCTCCGTATGAACTTGAATGAGAGTCTCCAAAGGGGCTGCTTTTACAGGGAGGGAAGGGTTAACAAGGGAAACACTTTATCCCCGAGCTGTATGGTGGTCTGAGGAACAGTTTTTCATGGGCCTCTACTGACCGGACCTGAGAATCATGTTCTCACTGGTCACAAAGTGTAGGTGATCGGAACCTCAGCATTCACCAAACAGGACAAGCCCAATCAATCAATCAATCAATCAATCAAACAGAAACCCAGGAAACATCACAGGTGACTGCACTGATTAGGGATATCGCTAGTAAACGTTGTTTTAGCTACTCGTCTTCGATGAGAAAACCCAAGGAAGTAGCTTGAGCCAGGAAGAATATGTCTTAGCTCATGGTTTCAGAACATCATGGTGTGGAAAGCATGGTTTGGGGGGCTCGATCCCTGTTGGGGGTTCTCACACCATGGAAGACCATGAAGCAGATGATGCCCCCAAAAGTCTGTCGCTAGGAGTCTATATCTGCAACATTCTGAAACTGCACCACCAGCCGGGAAACAAGAGTTCCAACATAAGTACATGTGGGGGACATCTTGGACCCGAACCATGATGACCTCCAGGTAACACATGACAAGCTTGAACTGCAAAATCGCACCTTTCCGTGTTCACCTGGTTATTTAGTCTGGAAGGAAATGGATCAGAACTGAGTTGAAATGCCGTCTGCATTTCTGGTTGCTGGTTCTTTCTAGGCATCTCTGAAAACCCTCTCTCCAGGATCATGGCCCCTGGACACTGTCTAAGGAGCGGACATATGAGAGGAGGTGAAGTGGACATTCTGTGTGTCCCTGTCTATGGCAGTGTCGTTTCTAAGGGAACCATAGAAAATAACGAAGGGGCAGGTAGAGGGGCTGCTTTCCCACGATGAGCAGGAGTGGGAGCAGCTGGGCTGGGAGGTTCCCTCTCACAACCTCTTCTAGCGGTTAAAATCCGAGGACAGTGAAGGCCACTCAGTCACTCTAAGTGCCTCCCAGGCCTGGTACTCTCCATTCGAGGGTCCACACTCAGAACCTGTGGCCTCACCTAGAGCTTGTTTCTCTATCAATCCACTTCTATCCCTTGCCATCTTTCCCACATATTCCACCAAATCCTCTGGGACTCTATCTGCTTCAGAAGTCATGGGCCTCCAGACGCAATTTTTTAAAAATTTTTCATATATATTTAGTGTCAAAAAGTTTCGTGGATGGAAGCATATCAGACCTACAGCTTGGTCTTATCAGTGAAGCTTTGGAACCATGCAAGTGTCAGTTCAGATTATCTGTCTGTGGTGACTTCAGGGAGGGCAGTTTGACTGTGACTTAGAGAGGGAGATCGGAGCTTGTGCCGATGAGGGCTGGAGGGGCTGATCGGGATGAAGCCGGTGTAAAAAGTCACCTTACCAAGCTGCTCCACATCACTGTGAATGATCAAAATTTTGGTTTTCCGTCTATAAACTATAAAAATCCCCCTGTGTGGGATGAAATAAGGGAGTGGCTGCAAACCACCCAGCCAGTGGCTGTTGGTGTGTAAATGAGCTCACCCACTCTTCGCACCCTTTGTCCACTGTGACCAGTAGTGAGAAAATCATCCTCCTCTGTACCCTTCTCCAGGGGAAGCCGCTCAGGCCAAGAGAAGAAGGAGGTCGATCTCAGCATGGCTTCAAAACCCTGGACCTTTCTTGTGCTTCGGCAGCTGTGTGATATCAAGCAAGTTAACTCCTCAGAGCATCTGTTTTGATCAAAGTAAGATGGAGAAAAATTAACAATCATAGAGTAACTTATAGGAACAAGTGAGAGACTCTATGTGAAAAGGACCATTTAAATGATGAAGCTGTCTGCAAACTTAGATACTTGCTTTAACACCTCCAGGTGAGAAATAGTCAAGAAAACACTACTGTATACCAGGTGCTGAGCCAGCCCTGGGATTCTCTGTTGGTAATGACCAGCATTAAGCATGGCGGTATCAGAGCAGAATAGCTCTTCTACCTCAGGATGCTCTGGAGGAGTGAGGGACCAATTGATTCTGAGAAAGTTTTAGCATCTTTAACAACTGTGTAAAGGACAGGAATAGTTGGCCAAGAAGGGCTGGAGTTGTGAGGTAAGAACCTTCCAGAAGGAAAACAGCATGCTTGTGAATACCTACTGCCCATGGAACAATACCTACCGACAGGCCACACCAACTAGCGTTTTGAGGTTTTGAAGCCACAAAGTGGCAAGAACTAACTATTTGGATTCACGAGCCCTTTCCTGAACCCCTTGGCAGCTGTAATGCTCTCACAGAACCTCTGTGTGTCATGGGGGGAGTCATCCTCACTACTGGACCTCTTTGCATGGACTGGGGTGGGTGACCCCAAGGCATTTTTCTCTTCCCTCCTCTTAAAACTGAGCCCTCACTGGCTTTGTGCTCTTCACGACCAGTCCTTGCCTGGGGAGAATGAGCTCCATCCCTGGTAATCATAACAATGACTTCCTATAGAGGATGATGTCCTTTCTTGTGGCAGCCTGTGAGTATGCTGCCTTATGTAACAAAAAGAACCAGAAGTGGTCAACTCTGTTGATGCGATCTTGAGATGAGGATGTTCTCTTAAATTATATGGGTCTACAGAAGACAGTGGGGGTGGACTGACCAGTGTCTGAGAAGCTATGGAGAGACGAGAGGCAAGAGTGATGTGGACCATGTGTCTGGAAATCCAATAGCTGTTGGAAGCCAGAAAAGGCAAAGGAATAGCCTCATCCCTAGACCCCACAGAGGGAATTAGCCATGATGACCCACTTTGGATTTTGGCCTGAAAAACCCCAAGCCCATCTGTGTCATTTGAAATCACTGGATTTTTATTGTTTCTCTAAAGCAATGGCAGTCACAAATAAAGCACAGTTTTCGGTCCCTTGAATCGGCCTGCTATTAGGTGGCCCCAAGACTCCACAGCTGCGCTTCTCACCCATCAATAGCGCCTGTTCCCCAGCCTTTCTGCCCCTCAGCCTTCCTGAAATTGACTCGTGCACTTGTGATCTGGACTACACGGCCCAAGGTTCCCCAGTATCTTGTTCACACTTCCTCTCACGCCTTCCATCTCTGCATCCTTGCTGTGTTATTCATCCCTCTGTTTGCATTGGATTTCCTGAGTTGGCAGTCTATACTCACACGGTCACTTCCTAACTTTTCCTTCTACATGCAACCCGCAGTAAGAATCTGCCTCCACTCACCGCAGCTCCACACACATTGATTCTGTGGGGTCGCTGGTGAGTTCAGATTGCCAAATCCAGGCCCAGTTCCCTTCTCAAGTCTCCTTTACTCTGGATCACGGCTCTCTTGAGTCATGTTTCTCCCTTTAGAGACCATACCACCACCGTCCTGCTTTATTAAGGCTTCTACTTCCTTTGGTTTCTTATTTATTCGTTCAATAGTCTCTTAATCTAACCACTTTGGTGTGTGCATATGTGCACGTGTGTTCATGTTCATGCATGTTCACATGCATGTGTGCGTTTAGACCAGAGGTCAACTTCAGGTATTGTTCTCCAGAAGCGGTTGGTCCTCTTTGTTGAGACAGGGTCTCTCCAGAAGCGGTTGGTCCTCTTTGTTGAGACAGGGTCTCTCACAGCGACCTGGGGTTTGGCAATTGAACTAAGAAAACTGGCCAGTGAGCCCCAGAGCTTTTTGATCTCTGCCTTCTCAGTGCTGGTATTGCAAGCATGTACTGCTATGCCTGGCTTTTCCTATAGATGCTGGGGATTGAACTCAGGTCCTCATGATTATTCAATAAGCGCTTTACCTGCTGCGCTATCTCTTCAGTTCCTATTAAACCCCTACTCCTGCCCAGCATGAAGCCAGGGACTAACTGTGAACATGTCAACATATCCTATGGTCTTTAAAGAGTTGAGAGTAAACTAGAAGAGAGAAACTAGCAATAATAATCAATAAGTTATAACAACAATAATGTTATTTATAGTAATAACATACTGTTGTTAGTATTATCCCAAGGACAAAAGCGAAGCCACACAGGCATCAGACAGCTCCTCTGCCAAGCCTCTGACCTTGTTCTTTAGTTTGTGATCCCTGTGGTAACAGCCTATGGCCTGTGCTGATCTAATGAACAGAGATCTACGAGCATACACCAGAGGAAAGGACCAGCTTTCTGGTCTCTGTCCTGGGGCATCACATGAAGGCTATACTTAGTGTTTTGTAACTGCTAACCCTGCTCCTTTTCCTAGAGCCCCATTGTTCCTCTGTTCCCTGCAGCACAGACTATGTATTTCTCAGGCTCCAGTCTGGATGCTACTCCCATGAGAGGACTTCACTGTACCATCTTCTCCTAAGGCAGAATCCAAAACCCTCTGAGATCTCCATCAACTACCTTCCCCTCACAGCAGCCAATTTCTATCTGAGAAATGGAAAGAGAGAGGGATATTATTTCATCCTTATAATGTGGTCTTTTAGACCAAGATCCATGTAAACATTTTTTGTTGCTGTTTATTTATTTTCTATCATATTGCCTATAAATTCCTTTCAGTACTGAAACCACTGTGGTTTGCTAATTACAAGCATCCTAAACATCAGTATGCTACTTGGATATAAAGAGTGACAACTGATTTGCTATCAAGAGAGTGACCTTTGGCCCCATGCTGGGCACATTTACTCATGAGTCAACTCATGTGCAAATCTTTCTCTTGACCCTGCTTGTGAGAATATAGATTCTGAGAACTGTGTGCACACATGAGATTGCATGGAAGTTATCCTGCAATGGCTGTAGATTCCTGCTGGTTGCTTTTTATCAGTGTAACTGTGATGGTCAATTTTGTGTCCATTTGATTGAATCGCAAGGTGCCCAGATGGTTGGTAAACATTTCAGGGTGTCTGTGAATATATTTTTGGGTGAGAATAACATTTGAATGGGTAGACTGGGTAAAGGAGATTTCCCTTTCACTATGGACATGCACCAGTCACCCTGTCGAAGACTTAGACAAAAGGAAGAGGGGAAGGAAGAGAGAATTCACACATCTTATGTGATCTCTTGTGCTGGAGTATTGGTATCTGCCAACTTAGACCATCTGCCCTCCAGTTTTAAGCATTTTTAAAATACAAATTAGAACTGTGCGCCCTGGCTTTTCTGAGTCCCTAGGACGGATGACAATCTTCATGGCAGTGTGAACCAACATCACCCCCCTCACCCACTCACACACCTCTTGTACAAACATATTAAAAACAGAAAGACGCATATATGTATGCGCAAGGAAACCTTAAGCACGTTAATCCTGCTCAGATTATCCAGATGTCTCTCTGGCTGTGTGGGCCATCGCACAGTGCGGAGCACACACAGTGTTTATCAAGCAGACACAATGCACTTCATACCTCCACGTCTCTCTTCTTTGCTGCTGCATGCAAAAGCCGGAGTAGATGGTACTGTTCTGTCTGCTCCAATTGAGACATCAAGGCCAGGAGTTCTGCCAGGTGTCTGTTGATCGGTTGAGGCTGCTTTTCATACACAGCAGGTAACACCCTCAACAGCATGGCATTTCCTATTGAGGGAACAATAAAAGCAACAGCGACCTTATCAACCTCAGAGTCATAGAAATAACATCATTGTCAATGTAATAATCTTAGCACTTCAGCAGTACAGTCAACAGCCAAATATTCTATTAAAATTAACAGATTGCTTTATTCTGTGAAAAATTAGTCACTAAAGCACAATTCTGATTGATTTCACAAGGGAGTATTTTATGATATGACCAGCATTATTATCTAATGAAATTTTTTCCCTGAATAATGCTCCACGGGGATTAGAGGCACACTTGGCAGTAACCAAACCACACCCCAAGGAGACAGTTCCGATAAAAAATTCCTGATGAAAAGTAACACTTGGAAGCTATTGAAATAAAAAGTGAGCAGTGTTAGGTGCATGAACTTAAGTGAAGCTGAACGCAAAAAATGCAGAAAGGAATGCGTTCACATTCCTGAGGGCTGGGAGGCCTGGTTCAGACAATGGACATATGGAAACTATGCCTGATTTTTTTACGAAGAGTTTAAAAGGTAGCAATGCAAATCTAAACCCTCAATTTCTGCACTATTTCAAGGGGAATTTGCACTCAGCTTGTCTGTCACACGTGATTTGCCTCAAAGGCGTGTGTGACAACCGGATTCAAAATGGCAAAACCCAAAGAAAAAATATTTCATGAGTTGTAGGGGCTTCACTGCAATGCCACGTGGGAAACAGCTGCTTATCACTTTCTGTTATGGAGTCCCCTCTCAAAATGCTGTCAAGCACTTATTCAAGTGTCTCGGAGGATTTGGTTTCTAGAAGAACATTTTCTTGGTTCTATTTATAATTTGTGTTGCGGCTGTAGTGCTGGGGTTGAACCGTACGCATGCCAAGCAAGCATTCTCCGAACAGCCACGCTCACCCCAACCCAGTTCGTGGTTTACTTGTGTTAGCTTTATTCCCAGCAAATATACACAGAAAGAATCACACAAGCAGAAACTACACATATACAAATCTTCAGGAAGTGGTGGGGATACGCTAACACACAAAAGACATTTAATTATGAACGTTAAGGAAAGAGAGCTTGGGTTTCTATGATATCAGTATTTATAGTCAGTTAAAAGGGACAAAAACATACTTGCATAAAAAATTAGGAATTGATTTTTCACAGAAGTAATTTCAAACATATCTTAGCAACTTGTCCACAGAATAAAAGATTCTGGAAATGCTTTTAATTTTTTAAAGAATTTGTAAGAGCCAGGCTTGATGGTGCATGTCTTTAGTACTTGGGAGACTGAGACAGGGGGATGACCACAAGTTTGAGCCCATTCTGGCCTATATAATGAGTCTGAGACAAGCTTGGCCTATATAGCAGGACCTCATCTCAAATTGAAACTAAAAACTAAAACATAAAAAAGTTTTTCCTGGGATAGAGAGATGGCTCAGCGTTTAAGAGCATTGGCTGCCCTTCCAGAGGACTGGGGTTTGAATGCCAGCACTCACATGGTACCTCACAACCATCCATAACTCCAGTCACAGAAGACCCGACACCCTCTTCTGGCTTCCACGGGCATCTGGCATGCGATTGCAGACAAAACATTTGTATACATTAAATAATAAAATAATGTTTTAAAAATAAATTGTCCCCATCACTATTTTGACACCAAGCAATTTGACACCAAACAATTTATTTTTTATTTCTGTTGATTAATATTTATATAGCTTCTCCTTAAATGCAGGAAATTCTAATTCAATACATAATTGATGCACAACCCCTTAGGTCATAGAACTTAGCTGTGGACGCACACTGGTCAGCTGATGGGAAAAGTTAGAATTTGGGTCAGAAACTGTTGCATGCCTTTTTAACACTTTCTCCAACAAAGGTTCTGGGTGCTTGGGAGGGGAAATCCCTAGATTAGTCATTTCCACCGACTTCAGTTTCAATAAAATAAACACAAAAGTAAGTGCAAAATAATTTATTTTCTTTTTTAGTTAGAAACTGATAAAGAAATCTGGATGTAGAAATCCTGTAAAAATTCTACTCAGAGGTTTATATACTCTTTTTAAAGCTAAGTATTTCAAGCCCTCAGGTAGGCATAAATAGTAGAAGGAGCAAAGGTGTGCCCGTCAACCAGCTTCACCAAATTTTACCCTGTGCCATGGTGCTTCCTGACCACTTGCCTTTCCTCCTCAGAGGCAATCCTCACCCTGAAGTTAGTAGTTCTCATTGTTGGGAATGGTTCACAGTTCACTTACATGTGTGCATCCACCAACATCTTACAGCCATCTGCCTGCTTTATAATTTTACATGAATAGGTTCATTATCTATAGAACTCAGGGCAAACCGTTTTGCTCTATTCAACATTATGCTGGGTTTCAGTCAAATTTACCTCGTATCTTGATTCTTCCTACTGGCTTTTCTCCCCAGGGGCACTGATCTAACTTCTCTCTGGCTGAAAGACATCATGTTCTCCAGAAATCATCAGGAAAAGGCCTGAAATTACTCAGATTTGCTATCTTCCATTTTCCAAAGCCTGGCATGTATATCACCGTGCTGAAGGTATAGGAAAGGCTGCAATGACCCTTGAAGGATCTCCAGAACCATTTCTTTAGTTGTTCTATCTTCTAGAGCAGTGGTTTCCTGCCATTCTAATGCTGAGACCCTTTAATACAGTTCCTCATGTTGCTAGGTGGGGAAAATTATACTGAAGGCTGGGAGAAAGAAGGTGGAGTCAGAAAGAAGCCATGTAGCCCCACCAGAGACAAATGTTGAAACTATACCTGGTAAGCCACAGCCTCGTGCAATACACAGATTAATGGAAATGGGTTAATTTAAAATATGAGTTAGCCAAAACTACGCTTAAACTATTGGCCAAATGTAACATGAGGGCCAACTTGTTGAGGTATCTGTTCCCGCCCAGTACCCCACAACCGGCAAGTCCCAGAGAAAATCAATCACACAGCGATCTCTATAAGTTATAAAGCTGATTGGCCCATTAGGTCATGCTACTTATTAGTTCTTATGACTTATCTTAACCCATTATTCTGATCTATGTTAGGCATATGGCTTGGTACCTTTTTCAGCTGTCAGCTCACATGTTGCTTCTTCAGTGATCTGGGCAGGAATGGCAGAGCGAGCTTCCTGCTTCCCAGAATATTTCTGTTCTCATCACCCCGCCTCTACTTCCTATCTGGTTGACCCACCTATACTTCCTGCCTGGCCAATCAGTGTTTATTTAAAACATGATTGACAGAATACAGACAATTTTCCCGCACCATTCCCCCCCCCTTTTTTTTTAAACAAAGGAAAATACCCATAGTCTATTTGTTGGGAATGTGGGCGTAGTATTCCAGGCTACTTCCTGCTGGTTGGGGGCGCTGATGATCTTATGGGGACCTAAAGAAAATTTAGAGTTATAATCAAGTCCTGACTGGAGTATCCCGTGAGTCTTGATCATCTCAGGCAGCAGTCTTGAATCTGTTCTGGATGAAAGAAGATGGAGTCAGAAAGAAGCCATGTAGCCCCACCAGAGACAAATGTCGAAACTATACCTGGTAGGCCACAGCCTCGTGGCAATACACAGATTAATGGAAATGGGTTAATTTAAAATATGAGTTAGCCAAAACTACGCTTAAATTATTGGCCAAACAGCATTGCAAATAATATGGTTTCTGTATGATTGTTTCGGGGCTGAGCAGCCAAAAACAAAACAAAACAAAACAAAAAAACAAGAGACCTCCTACAACACACAACCATAAAATTAACAGTCATTGTTACTTCATAATTGTAATTTTGCTACCCCTACGAATCATAATGTAAATATCTGTGTTTTCTGATTGTCTTAGGTAACTTCTGTGAAAGGATTGTTTGACCCCTCCCCCAAAGGGGTCGCTGCCCATAGGTTGAGAACCATTCTAGAATCTGGTATGTACCTGCTGGCTTGTGGACCCTCCCATCCTGTTCAAAGCTAAAAACATGGTGACTCTATGATCTCGTTTCTTTCTCTCATCATCCTTCTTCATGTGATTCTGTCATCCGCCTCCCTCTTTCACTATCTTTTAAAATATTTTCTTTATGATTTATGTGCAGGTGATGGCAGGGATGTGCGTGCCTTGATATGTACTTGGAGGTTGGAGCACAACTTTCAAGAGTTGATTCTGCCCCTCCACCTTGTGTTCCAAGGACTGAACCCACGCCATCAGGCTAGCATAGCAGGAGATTTTACCCAATGGCCAATCTCACATGCACATCCTCTCTTACTTTTAGGAACCCCCTGATGCAGAGCCAATCTAAATAACCTAGGGTTGTTTCCTTATTTCTCTGTAGTGACTTTCATTCCTTCTGGAATGCAGTGATATAGGTTTCAAGGATTGGAACATGGACATCTTCTGGGGTCCATTTTTGTGCCTGGTACCAGGCTTATAAGAGCTTACATTCCCATCAGCCTCGTGAAGGCATCTGCTACCCACATCCTTGCTATGCTGGGCCTTCACGGCTCTCCTTGCCTTTTGCTAATTTGATGGAGTGTGAGATTACATCTTCTCAGGTCTGTTTTCAGTCTCGTTTTCTTGATTGCTTGTGACCACATACACACAGTTTCGCAGCAGGTCACTTCTTGTCCTGCGATTTGGCCATTCACAATTTTTGTTTTTTTAACTAAGACATTTCTCTGTCTTTTAAATTCATTTTCTTTACCTTTGCCTAAATGGCCATTTTACCCATTCCTGCCTGATCCTTATAAAGAATTTTAATTCACCTTTTAGGAATTACGGGAATCACTCATAGTTCTTTAAAATAGCTTTTCCCTCAACAGTCTTTTGAGTGTGTGCATTCCTGTGGATGCATATTTCTGTAGGTACATGTTTGTGTGTAGACGCCTTGGAAGTCAACCTCTGGTATAATTACAATCATCCAATACATTTTTTTAAAAAGATTCACCTATTTCTATGTCTTTATGTGAGCCAGCATGAGTTTATGTGTATCACATGTACCTGAGGAGGTCAAAGGCCATAGGGTCCCCTGGAACTGGAATAGATAGA